CAACTCGACTTTCAAGATCTACATATCTACATGCCGATGTTTTCGTTTATCAACGTTATATTTTAAGATCTGTGCAAGAACTCGGCTAACAGATGTTTCCGCATACAAAAAATATACAAGTAACATCTGTATGTAGGTGGCACCAAGTAATGTGAATCCTCATTGGCTTTAACTGTGAGTTTTGTTTAGTGATTGGTTCATTTATATAAGCATGCTAAAGAAAGTTTAATTGAATCTTCTAGTAGCAGTGATTTTCTGAAGATGAGTTAAATGGTTCATACCATTAACAGAAACTATAAGTGAGTGTTAAAGAAAGGTTGCTTTGATTGTATATTCTGGTGTCTGTGATTTCTGTATGGTGTTTGAATGGATAGTATCATTATGACAAAGTTTTCTTTTAGATTGGATGATTTTTAAGTGATTGATAGCATATCTTGTGACTGTTGTGACCCAAAGCTGTGGTTAATATTAAAATGAATATATGCCAAAATTATTATTACATGCTCTGATGCTAGTTGTATGTAAAATACCAGCTTTAAATACTGTTTCCTGTCATTGTATATTGACAACCAGTTATACCTATGTATTTTTTTCATGATTACAAGTTTGATATATAATTGTTTTCTTCTACCTTTTCATCTTCTTCATATAGGAAAATTATTTAATTCAGAAGTCTGTTACTCTTGTTGCTTATGTATGTCACTTCTGACTTGCAAGAACTTGGTTCATTGAGCCGAAGTTTATTTTCTGACATATAAAGTTGAAATAAACAACACTAAAATGTATTTCAATATTAGATGCCTATTATATTTCTTAACTTATAGTAGTTTTTATTATAAAGTACTTGTAAATTACACATTTTTTCTGTAGAACCTAAGATTAAATTAGATTTTATGTTTTTGATTGAGTCGTCACAATTCTGATATATTTTCAGTTCTTCTAAAAATGAATATCATTAATTAATATCTTACTGTAAAAATGCATTATATCAATTTTGTGTATATAATATTGAAAGAATTGATTGGCTCATAAATTGAACAGAGATTATGTGTTCAGGATTCTCTGCGTACTAGTCAGTTTCAGGTTTATTTATTTTTCTATCCGAAGATTTACCCAATAAAATTATGGGTGAAATGTCATAATATTGTTATTATTATTAAGAAATTGAGGCATTTTATTATTTATACATTTCCAAAATAGTTTTATATTCATCATTAATTTGGTTTGAAGTGAAATAACATAGTTTTTGTGATACAGAATTTTAATGCTGTGAACAATAATATTTACCTTCATATATCCTTAATCATGACATTATGAACACTTCCCAAACAAATCACTAAGAATCTGTTCTCTCTCTCTAGTAAAACTTTGTATTAATTTTTCTTTGGTAGGTTTTTTTTTTGTTTTTAAGCACTGTATTATTCTCTTTCATATTAAAGTTCACAACCCTAATTGAAAAAATGCAGCAATTATGTAGAACTCAGGTGATGACATTTATTTTTTATTTGTATTGTTATTTAGAAATAGCTTAGGTAATGTTTATACAGGTTATTTGATATTTATAGAGGTTTTTGTGTTAATCAGGATATGTAGTTCTTGTGATTAGGTTTTGAATAAAATGTTAAATTAGTTCCTGAGATTGCTTTCTACTTAAGTTCTTTGCCTGTTTAAAGCAGAACAACTGCTGTGAAAGCAGCACTATTTTTTGTTAAGACCATTCACTACATTGTTATCGGATAATTTCTACTACAAACTCATACAATAGCATCTTCTGTTAACCCTCTCTATATGGGTTTGGTCATTTTCACCAACCTTGCAAACATCACCGAACCATGAAACTATATATACTATAACGAGCCTTTAGTACATTTTTGTTTTTTTTTTGTAAAAACAAAAAAATTAATTTAAGTTTTTTTTACTAAAAATTTGTCTGTGAGTTTATAGAATCAGACTCTGACTAGTCTGAGTGCAAGGTGATTTTCTTGTTAAAATTAAATATAATTTTCCTTTCATCTTACACTTTTCTAATTTCATTTTCATAACCTTCAGAATCTCTTAAAAGAAAATTGTTTTTTTAGTAAAACTTTATATTTCATCTGCTGTTTTCTTTTCCCAAACACTATATGAGCTTGGTCCATTTGACCTATCTTGTAACCACTACAAAAAAAGAATATGAAATAAATATAAATTACCTTATTTTATTTCTAGAATGAGTGCAGATTGTAACAGAAAATTACAATTATTTATCCCAAACAGTATCAGGTTTGTAAGAGTTTACATCTGTTTTCATTTAATTTTATTGTTTTATGGCTCTTTTGAGCTGTGTCCAACTACTAAACTTGCTTAACAAGCTAGAAATCACTGCAAATGCATAGCTCAACTTACAGCATTAAATTACACAACACAAGCTTCTCACATACAAACTTTGTTGAAAAATTAATTTTTTATTTATTCATTTAATTTCTTTCATTTATGTTTTTTTTTACCTAGACTAATAAGTTTCTAACTTTTACATTTTAGTTGTTTTAATAACAATATATAAAAAAACAAGAAATGTAGTACTTACATGTGGATCTTGTACTTTTTTTCAATCAAAAAGTTGATAAAAGTTAACCCTAATTTTTGTTAGGGTTTTTGTTTGGTACTTTACTGATTTTCTATTTATTTCAAATATTCATCTTATAACACTAAATAATAATCTACACAAAGTATACAATGTCGTATAACTATTATGATTTAACTGACTTTCCAATTGGGTCATGAGTGGGTTGTAATAACTCCCTTAATTGGTTGGAGCAATTTTGAATCTGCACATGCCAGATAATTCAAAAGCTAATTGTGAGAATGAATTAGCATTATACACAAGTCAGTAAATCAAAATATTTTCTTTCTGTTAGTTATAAATAATGTAATAGCAAACATCTGAGAAAATTACAGCCTTTTTTTTTGAAAGACAGTATGTGGTAGGAAAGCATTGCATGTGGGTTTGACTTTCTGTAAATTATGATGATTGGAAACTATAACATTAGATTAATGTTTTAGCATAATTTTGTAATTTCTGTTAAAACTCAGAAGCTGAAATAGGGGTGGAAAGAATGTTCAAGTGGTGCTATTCTGGGCAAACAAATATCACGTGATACCTAGAAGTGAAGGTTGAGAATTTAGTTAAATATTTCCTTTTGAAATTAAAACTTACATAACATCAAAATTTGTTTAATGACATTTTGATGCCAAGTTTATGTACCTGTATCTAGAGGGTTAAAGCCATCACCTACATTTCCATTAGATACTTTCTGCTGCTGCTCTCACTGCTTTTGCAGCACTATTTCCTGTTAAAGCTGTAACTGCCCACTACCAGGCCCTGTGCTGCCACTGGAACCACTATATAATTGATTGTGGTTAATTTTATACCTGACAGACCCTCCATTTTATCATAAATGTAGGCTTCCAAGACTACATTTAATCAAACCAGTTGGCACCAAACACCATTAGGAGATTCATGTGGATAAATGGAATATCTAGGATTCTATTTTCTTTCACAAAGATTCATTGCAGTGTTTTCTGTTAAAGCTGTCACCAAGCATGCATTATATTTCTATGTGATATCTTTTGTTTTAGATTTTATTACCAGTTACTATTTTTTAGTCTTGTGTCACCCTTGGAATAACTACTCCATCATTGACCATGTTGAATCTGATGTATGATTAGACATTGTTGGCTCCACATTAAGTTTCTGAGTGTGGTAAATCTTGGACCTTGCCTCTGGACACACCCTCCACTTTAAATGAGCATCAGCTTCCAAGACCACATTTAAATAGACCAGAGGTATAGAACACCACTACAATTATATCATGGACTTGATACTTGTGTAATTAAACATCATTTCTAGGATTCCTATTTTTTGTAGTTGTCTTTCTCATGAAAACAGCCATTGATTTTAAAGCATGGCAGGATACTGGTAAACCTTCATCAGCTTCAGATCTGTATTATTTTGTTCACAATACTAGGAGGGTACATCCAGCTGCATTGTAATAGTTTTTTTGGATTGGAGCAATCCGTTTTTTTCCTAGTGTGATTTTATAAGCACAACTCTTATTTCAAAGATAAGGGTTTTTGAACAAAAGGTTTTAGAGGCATTTGTGATTTGGGGGAAGGAAGCAACTGGGAGGAGGGGGGGGGGACTAACTTTATAAAGATTTATATGGCCAAACCTATCACTTGTTTTAAAGTTATAACTGGTTATTTTGTCCCATTTTTGGTAAAAGTTAACATTAGTACAGAATTGTATGCATACACATGTAGATTTTTTTGCATTATCACCTAGCAACAAGTGAGGTTTAGCTGTTCATTTCAGTGAAGGACAAAAGTTGTTTTTCTTAACATCATAGTTGACCATATTCTTAGAAATTTCCAATACATGATAAAAGACATATTTTATGTAAATAAAAATGCCAATTCAGACCACTCAGAAATCTAGAAGGGAAAGATTTCTCAGTAAAATGTATTCATCCTCTATCTGTACTTTAGAAAAAACTTCAATGAGCATATTGGATATTTTTATTATTTTAATTTTCTTAATGGCTTTGGTGTAAGTTGGGTTAAAGTGTTTTGTTTACAGATCTTGTTATTTTTTTTTAAATGCTCTGATGTGCAAGCTTTTCCACTTATGTGGAGAATATTAAAGTAACCTTCTTTTATCTCTCCACCTTTTAGTAATCTTAATGATGAATTTTTCTTTGTGAAAGAAAGTTGTGACTTCTCCTACCCATAATTCTACTCAGAACAATAGAGATCACAACCTTAAACTAAATAAACAGGTATTGAACATATTGCTTGTGGTGCTTAGCTTCATCAGTTTATACAAATTATTTTACCAAAGTACAATTAACTCTATTTGTAAAGTTTTCAACAGACAGAAAGAAACTTGCATTTCTTCAGGGGATTTTTGAATTAATTACTGTCCAGTATTTTAACCAGGTACATTTATCAAGGCCATAATAATTGTTAAAAAGTCATCTTTCAAACTTTGATACACAGTAAAGATGCACTGAGACAGTTTCAGTAAAACATTTATTTGTATAATTAGTTACATGTATAAATATTAGGAAGTACAAATGCATTATTAAGAAAAACCCTAAATTGATGACAGGCAGTACTAAATATAAATTTTTGTATTAATGTAGAATGTTGTGCTGTAGTGAATGCTTTTAATTCCATTAATGAATTAGACATAGTTAAGAAGGCTAGTATTGCCACTCTGATTCCACAGCTTTCATCTTGATATTCTGTTTCGTTTCAGCACATCTGCTTCTCAGCTGCTTTCTGTAAATAAGAGGAGATACACACTAAATATATGTGCACGGGTTGGTATCAGAATGTATATACCACGACCTTCTAAAAAGTCCCACTCAACACGGCATGATATATTTAGTGTCAGAATTATCAACTACTTATTTTATCCAATCATGGTTGAAGAGAGTAAATACCAGGTACAATATACAGGGATACTGTAATATATAAACTGTGAGATGGAAAAAAAAGTATTTTTACTCTTCATATGAACATCACCTTGCACTCTGACTTGACAGATCTGAGACAAATTGACATATCCTGATTACAAATCTTTTGTAATACTTCTGATGTTTTGTGTACGACAGACTTGTATATTGTACTGAAATATTGCCACATTTCATGTACATACAAGTTGTAAATTCACAGTTAGTCAACATTACTTCTCCAATACATGATAAATACAATGGACTGACCTTGTGCACATTCTGTTCAAGGATTGTCTCTATATGAAACATTACTAGATTATATTTAGAATACATCCAATATCTTAACTGTATTTATGTTCGTTATTTTAAATCATACCTGCAAACTCTGGTATCTTCTTGCAGACACTGTACTTTTAGAACATTGAAATAAAAATTTCCCATTAGGTCTGCTACTCTACTCCTGCTGATTTTGAGACACTTCTTGAATTCTCTGTCACAATCACAGTGAGATCTAAGAATGAAAACTTAAATTTTATAATACTTGATTAGAAAATAAACATATACATGAGAAATTTTTATGTCTATGTAAAAATCATTTCAAGTTCATAACAAAAGGTTTAAAAGAAACCAATCTGTACTTTGTTAGAAGACATTATGTAACAATTTATCATCATTGCATCATGGTAATGGTGAAAAAACTACCCCAGTGAATCAAAATGTCTGAAAGCAAATACAAATTAATTCAGTTCACAAACCTAATGGCAGTTCTTAAATACTTATGTGTAATTACAAACTTTCATGAGTTTTGTTGCTTCAGTTGTAACAAATTATCTCATTGGTTTGAGGACTTAAGGGTTAATTACAAATTACATTTAAAGTTTGTTACTTATATATGAGATATATTATTAAATAAAACCAAATTTGTTTGCAATTAATATATTTAGATACAAGTTTCTTTATGTCCTTTCCATAATAATCAGATTAAAAATTTCAAGTCATTAAATGAAAGCAGTTTTGGTAATCAAAAATATATTTAAATATAACTGAAGGGGTAAAAATATACAAATGTGATGGACATAAGCTTTCAACTGCTGTCATCAAATATTTTACTTGGACCATATGACCTACAAAGAATTAAAAGCACTATAAACTATATCTTACAAAAACCTGTCAGAGGTAGGAAATTGGTCACAACGATTTTAACATTCAAATACACAATCAAATTATATGAATCCATATTACCTAATATTTTATATTCCTGTGTACAATGAAAGAAATGAGCATTTCTATCTTTTTAGTTTTGGTTACTAAGTCCTTACTTGGTATAAAACGACCAGTTGAAGATGCCATATCCTGTCTGAAGTCCTTTAACCTTTATTGGACAGTGGTCATGAGCTCTGCAACAAATGTCCACATTATTGTACCTTCCTAAATCGTCATACTGTTTTGCAACATCTCCTGTCCCACACCACCTGGTGCCTAGCAGTATGCAAGTAGTATTTTAGTAAGTTTTTTGTCCCATCAAGCAATACTCAGTTAAATTGTGTGTAAAACATTTCTTGTACCACACCATATGGCACATAATACACAAGTACTATTAGTACATTAGAATGTCTACTAGCAGTGTTTACCAGTACACAAAACATATTTCACCAGAATATAATAAAGATGTACAGTTTCACTTACATTACAGTGTACAGTATCAGTTACAATAATGTGTATCACTGGTAAAATATGTATATGCTTTAAGATAAGACTTTTACCCGATTTTCTATTTTGGTACCTGTATAAATTGAAAAAAATTATTGTGGGTTTAAAATCCATTAGAATCATATACACACTGAAGTTACAGTGGAAAGAAAAGATGGGGAAAATTATTTCTAGCTTCTGCATTTTAAGTTTTCCAAAGATATGATATGTTTGTATTTATTTTACCTGGCAGTATTCCACTGAATAAAGACCAACTAGGTAATACTGATAATTCCAATGAAGTTGCATCAGTTTTGATGTTTGAGGTTTCATCAATAAAATCCAGCATACGACACTCCTCTATAAACCACAACATTATTGGAAAACTGACCTCTTCTACATGCTGGCGAAATGAACTCAAGACTTCTTCTGTGTCATTTTCACTACTGCAACATTATTCGAAAAACATAGTTTACTAAACATCAGAGAAAAATGCTTTTAAACAAGTCTTGTCAAATCTAACCTATTACATGAACAGCACCTCACACAGTGCTGACAGCTGTAAAACTTTCACCCTCAATGACATACAAGATTTGACTTTATTATATAAACATGTAAGAAGGTTCCATAATGGAAAATACTGAATCAATTTGAAAAATCATGGCCTTTGTATACAATGTAATGACATTTTATCTAGTATAACCTAGGTTGGACATTCTGCTGTACTCTATTGAAAAATTAAAGACTGTATTTTATGCAGAATTTTTTTTTATCAGACTTGAATAAAAACCATTAGGTGCATTAAACGTATAAAAAATGTTTAAGTTTACAAGCCTAAGTTTAATTTACAATTGAAGAAAATTATGAATCAGAAGCTTACATATTAACAACACAGCACAACATGACACCGAAGACTAAGAATGCCACACACTGCAGCTTGGCACCTACCTAACAGCAACAGACTATAGCATGACACCTATATAACACCCATGACTAACAATGCCATAGTCTATAGCTTGACACCTATATAACACTCATGATTAACTGTGTTACATGCATCAGTATGAAACTACATAACACCCAAGCATATGTGTGCCACAGACTTCAGAATGACACATGTAACACCCAAGCTTACATATGTCACATAATTCAGCATGACACCTGTGTAACACCCATGACTAACTGTGCCACATGACACCTATATAACACCTACAACTAACTGTGCCACAGAAATCAGCATGACAGCTATATAACACCCATAACTAATTGTGGCACAGGCTTCAACATTACACCTATGTAACACTCACTACTAACTGTAAAACAATTTCAACGTGACTTCTGTAACATTTAACTCCTGTAACACTCACTACTACTGTCAGGCATTTGTATGATGCTTCTGTAAAAAGTTGGACAGCAGACTTAAGGATATTTTTTGCAACATTCACTAATAGCTGTCTAAAAAACTTCAGACTGACACTCTTTTATTTTCCTAAACAATAATCATGCACAAAAAATAAACTGTTTATACGTTTTTAAAGGTTGTTGCTATATTTGATGTTATAATCACAGGATTTGAAATGATTTTCGTTAGGTATTCTCTTATGTTTTATAAGTTTTTTAAGTCTACATTTTTTCTTAGTTTCTACATACAATTTAGTGAGAATTCCGATGTAATTTATTATAAATTCAACATTTCAGAGGTTCGATGACGAGGAACCCACTTTGAGACTAATCATGGTTGGAGACGGCTTGAATAGGTAATGAAGAAAAACTTTAATATAAGTTTAACATAACAGCAAATGTACAACGTTTCGACAAGGTTTTGTCATCACCAGGTACAA